TTAATCTATGTTGTTTGGAGAAGCTTCACAGGTTTCTGTTTGCTCCCTTATATGGATGTGTCTTATTTATTTACATCAATAGATTTTTATTTGGTAGAATAATTTTAAAGAGAACATTCCATATTTGCACCTAGGGTAATGCCAGAAACAAGCCTATAATGAGTACCAAAGTGAACATGTTACAGTTAAGATGAAAGGGAAAGAAGTGTCAGAACTACAGAGCATTATGGTTTCAGACAAGAAACAGGTCAAGGTGGTCTCACAGAGAAAATGTCACAGAAAATCATCTGCAACTGCAGTGTCACCTTCAAGTCTGAAGGGTGATTGATATCAAAGATTTGAAACTTGGTGAGTCAGGAAATAACTTCCCTCTTTTCAGCAATTGTTACTACCTGGCTTAACAAAGATTTGAATCTCCAGCCCTTGTATCTCTAGTTATACCTACTGGGTGGAGCCTGAATGGCCTTCAAGGACTCTTCCTACTTATTTGAACTGGGAAAGATTTTCACAGGACTGAAGAAGGAGGAGAATGTAATGTGAGAGTCTAAAGGCTTCAAAAAATCCTGAACTACAATCTCCTTTGTACTCTATGATCCTCTTAATGTGTCTGAGTCATAAACTCTGGACATCTCTGGCCAGGTTATCAAGATCATCTACTATTCCATATCCTACTGCTTAAAACTTCTAAATACATCTCTGAAAAGCAGATATCTATCTATGGATACTCCAGTGAAAGAAAATGCTTTTTTAAAAACATGTTATGAACAGAATATGCTATGTATGAATTTTCCCAAATTCACATGTTGAAACCCTAATCTCCAGTGTGACAGTATTTAAGGATCAAACTTCTTGATGGGTAATTCAGTTTAGATGAAGTCATGAAGATGGAGTCCTTATAATGAGATTAGTACACTTATAAGAAGAGATGTCCTGTCCACCAAATGAGGATATAATGATAAGACTGTTATCTGTAAATTAGAGAGTAGGCCCTCACCAAGGTATCTGCTGATGCCTTGATCTTTAACTTCTGGTTTCCAGAACTGTGAGAATATAAATTTCTATTTCATAAGTTGTCCAGCCTATGGTAATTTGTTGTAGTAGGCTGAGCTGAAAACACTTGATTGTTAAGCAATTTCCTGTCCTCTCTTTCTCTCTGTCTCTCTTGTTCTCTGTCTCTCACTTGTTTCATTTTCGCCTAGCTTTTCACACGTTTTAAAACTTTAGAACAGGAGTTGGCAAACTTTTGCTGTCAAGGGCCTAATAATAAAGATTTTAGGCTGTGGACCATATGGTCATTGACAATATGTAAAAGAATGGGTATAGCTGTGTTTCAATAAAACTTTTATCTATGAACACTGAAATTTGAATTTCATAATGTTTTCACCTGTCATGAAATCATCATCATCTTCTGATTTTCCCAACTATTTAAAAATGTAAAAACCATTCTTAGCTTGTAGGCTATACAAAAATATGTGGGGGCTGATTTGACCCACAGGCTGTAGTTTGTCAGCCCCTGATAAATCGTCTCTCTACTCCTGGTGACAGTCTTTGCATTATGAAGCCATTTCATACAGTCCTAGACACCTACCAGACAAGTACTGAACACTCATAATGGGCCAGGGAGTAACCTGAATCAATTGTTAGGAACACAAATCTGAAAATGACATGGTTCCTGCTCTAAGGAGCCAGAGCAGAGGTGGAGCTAATTTCAAGGCTTCTCTCTCACAAATCCCCATAGCCCTTAGGGTTAAATAAATGTCCACTTCTGTCTAAATATTTCTCAAGTCCATTTATTTTTGCTCCTGCTTCATTCTCAGTGCACAGTGGAGTAGAAGACCAAGCTTAGCACATTTTGATTACCTGCTGACCTTTGGCTTTTGTGAGTCTATTTAAAGTCCTGTGACTTTCTGTTCTGAAGGACACAAAAAAGTAGGCAAGTCTTTTACTAAGATAGGTGACCTGTTCATCCAAAAGTCACAAATTTCTGTTCACTTGCAACTTAATGTGCTCCCAAATCACTCTGAAAGCAATTGTGTTCTAACCTGTAAACACTCCTGGAAGCACAAGGCTTCTGTTGGTTGCTTTCCTGCCTGTATGGTGCTCAGACTATCTAATATACTCCTAGGGGAGCTTATGGAGCCCATTTTGGGGAAATAAATGGATAGGAACTCAATGCCACAGCTAGGGTAGAGGAGCCATTATGCTGAAATATTATATTGCTGCTTGGTGGAAATTCAAGATTTCATGGTACGGTAAAAGACCAACAAAGCCAAATGGCAACATCCACTGCACTTTGTAATTTCAGGACTCACCATTTAGGAAATCAGCACAGAAAGGGCTGATCCAAATCTTCGTCTTGACTCCCTCCCACCCCACAACAAATTCCATCCGTACTTTCCACACCTTGTGTCCAAGATGCTGGACAAAATTCTTTGGTCCAGACTTGAAGCTGGAGATTTTTGCAGATGAACTTTTTCATACTGAGGCATGTTTTCTTTCTTAAAGGGCCCCTGTCTGGGACAGGGCTGGATGCTCTCAGTCAAAAGGATCCCTGTTCTTCGTTAGTGAGACTCCATGTTCTCTCCTCAGGAAACTCATGACACAATGCATTTAGAAGTAACAAAATCTGTAAGACTATTAAGTTCAACCAAAACTTCTAGGTAAGAGTTAACTCATTCATTCATTCATTTGGTGAACATTATTGACAGCCTATTGTTTCTCAGGATTCAAAAGCAACAGGTTAAAAAAAACCGTAAAAACAATAAGACAAAACAAAACAAAAAGCCTTGGCTCTGGCTTCCTTGGTTGAAGGATGAAACAATTGTACTGGAATGTTATAAGGACCCTGATAGAATCACAGACAAGGCCCCATGGGTGGTATTGTGTGACTCTGTGAAGCGCACTATTATTGCTCAGGTGCATGGAGGACCTGGGCCATGTGCTAAGGGTGCTGAAAACACAGGAGACTCTTTCTTGTTCATGACCACACTTTGCAGGCATTATCCGAGTGAGTACATGGCCATTTCTTGAAACGAAGAGTTCAGGGCAAGCCCCTACATCATTGGGGACAGGACTCATAACATATGCTGACTGTGAAAGGAAGCCAGGGGTAACAGTACCAGTAATAACAATAGCAGCAATCATAACAACATAAACAACAATAAAGCTTCAATAAGCCTTTGCAGCATGTGCAGTATTCATAAAGAAGAGAAACCAAGGACAATTAAAATATTTTGTCCAAAATCTATGAAATGATGCTATCCAGGGTGGAATTCAGGCAGTCTGAGTTCCGTGTCTGTCTTGCTTATGCCATCTCTCTATGGAAATTGAGACAATCAAGTTCATTTTACATGTCTCTTCTGGGCTGGGCCCTTTCCTTTGAATGTCTCATTTAATCAGAACGACACCCTAGGAGTTGAATGTCACCAAATTTTACAGATGAAAGTCTTGCAAGCAATAGACTTGAAGAGCCTTGAGCATACTCTATCTCTTGTCTGTCTGTTCTTATCCCCAAGTCCAAGGATATAAGAAAAGCTTAGAACTGCTTTCTGAACACTTCCGTTCTGGACAGGAGATAGATTTACCAACTTGCCATTCACTGACAACAGTTAGCATCTTTTATTAAGGTGTTGATGACAAAGTGTGCTTACTTCCATGTCCTCATACTGTGTAGAGATGGTGGAAACCTTTGGAAGTGCTGCCTGATGGATACTCAAATTCCAAAAGAGGGAGAAAGTAAAAAGGGAGGAATCTGGACTCTTAGTACTTAAAGTGTGGTCCCTACATCAGTAATATTGACACTATTTAGGTCCTTGATCTGCTAATGGGCAACAGTTAATTCTAGGCAATGGCATTCTTCTTTGGATAACTCTGACCATCTGGAGCTAAACTTGTTCCTTACGTACATGCATCTTGGCACACACAGAGAGCTCACACGAGACCAAGGAAGATGGGTTCTGTTAATCTTTGTTTCTCTCTCTCATTGTGTTCTCTTTTCTGGGCTATTTTCCTTCTATAAAATGCTCACATCTATGATTTCCAATCTTAAATGCCTGTTGCTATTTCATGGGAGCTTTTAAGTAATTCTGATACCTAGTGTCTATGGTCAGAAATTCTACTTTAATTGAATAGGGTGAAATTCAAGAATTAGTAATTTCAAAAGTTCTCCTTTTGTTACAGATGGTTACTGGCTTACAATCACTTGATTTATGCTTTTTCAACTTTATGATGGTGTGAAACCATTATGCATTCAGTAGAAGCTATACTTTGAATTTTGATCTTTTACCAGGCTATGATACACTATATGATATACTCTCGAGATGCCAGGAGGCACAAGCTCCCAGTCAGCAATGCAATTCTGAGAGCAAACAACTTATAGTGTACTGTATTGCTAAGTTAGGACATTTGGTAGGTTAGGTGTATTAAATGAAGTTTCAATTTACAATGTTTTCAATTTAAAATTGATTTATCTGGCCCTAAATCCATGTTAAATTCAGGAGTGTCTCTTTTATTGTCAGTGTTGAGAACCTGTACTCCTTCAAGCTTCAGAAAACCAGGTCCACCAGAGTTAATACTTTCCAGTGTATGGTGGGGCTAGAGCATGAGCATGTTTAACAAATTCTGGGAGTGATTCCCCACATAAAAGCTTGGAAATTCCTGGAAGCAGTGGCCTCTGAGGTCTCTTCTAGCTCTGATTCTGAGGTCTTTCCAGGCAATCATTCTGTTCTTTCTCCCTGTGCTGGTGCTGCTTGTTGGTGGTGAGCAGAGATGTCACCAGCTTGTACACTAAGCTTCAGCATCCCCTTAGAATGCAGCCAGCTGGCAGCAATGAAGAAAAGTGGTAAACACATTTGACTTCTTTATCAGCTGTGCCATGTACATGATGTACAAGAGAACCAGATTGCTGTGTCAAGGCCATGAGGACCACTGAGGCTTTGTGTGAGATCCAAGGGTGGGTCCGGCTCACATCTCTTAGCTCTGCTCTGTGCTTTGGTCCACAGGTAGGCATTGGCCACCAGCTGCCGTTCCCTGGACCACAGCTCTAAACCCACAGGAGCAGTATGAACCATCTTTAGAGACAGTCTGGATCAACCCCTAAGGTAGGCTGAATGGATATTGGGACTCCAGAAGATTCCAGAGCTGGAATAAAAAACTGAAAGGTGGACTTGGAGTAAATTCTGGGGCTGTACCCTAACACTACATTGGTTCAGAGAGGCCATCCTGGAGTCTCTTTTTCTCTAAAAGACCTGTGTTGTTTGAATAGCAGTAAAATTTATTGGGGATAACGGAGTGACAAGGTTCTTATTGCTAATGGATGATTTCAAATGTGGTGAAAGATGTAAACCAAGCAGATGCCTCTGAGAGATTATTGTGAGTGAACACAATTATATAGTTAAACAAGGAGGAAAAAGAATTTGAATGTATCTTCAAAGTTCTTTATCAGTTTAAATGTGTGATTTTAAAAGGTTGAAATGATTACTTTCGGCAAATTACTCATCATTTTTTTTTTTTTTTTCTTTTGGATTCAGCAAGAAACCAACAGCCCTATATGGCTCCTCTTTGAAGACTTACTGATTGGTTTTTAGAGAAGGAAATTAGTTTAGCCTCTTGGAGCTCCCAGATTCTGATTTCCTTGGTGTTTAAGTTGCTGGGGTGTGAGGCAGAGGTGCTAGAAGCAGCAGGCAGTGGTGTTCAGGCAGGAGGATCAAGAACATCTTCCTGATATTAAACAATGGCCTAGAGCCTTCCAGCTGAAAGGGCCTTTAGAGGGCATTTGGCCAATTTCATTATGCAAACAGAGAAGGAAAATGTCATCTCCACAGTCATACAGATTGCAGAACTGGAAGCCAGGCTCTTCATTGTTCTCTCTATAAAATGGGGATGATAGTAGAGATGTCCAACAGGAGAAAAAAGACCTAGAAGGAAACCATTTTGGAAAGTTTGGTCACTGGAAGGGGGTGGTGTGGGGAAGGATTGGCCTTGGCTTCCATGGAGGGTTCATTTTGTGAAGGGGCTCCCTCATTGGCCACCTCACCCAGTTGTGCCACCAGGAGCCCTGCTGGCTGAGGTTCCTGAGCCCCCGTATCCTACTGAGCTGAGGACATGCAGAGGCAGCCACAAACCCCTGACATTTTCCTGGAGCTGGTGACAGCTGGTGGGACTTTTGACTAAAGGAATAAAGAGCAAGCAGTGAAAAAAAAAAAAAAAGTTACTGCGTTCAAAGTGGTTTAAAAATGTTCTGTGCCATCTGTTTGGCCACCAAGGTTTTTGGGGCGTGCGTGGGGGGAGCAACCTCATCTCCCACTCCTGGGTCTCACCTCTGTCAGGGCCTCCAGTGAGAAACTTTACCAAGTCTGCAAGTTTTGTTTCCTACTTCTCCCCACCCTTTCTTTCTAGCTCCTAATGCATGTTCTCGTCTTGTTTCCTGAAAAGATGTTTTGTTAGTCTCTCTAGTTGCTAATGAAATATTAAATCTATAAAGCCTGGCCCACTTGGCTCAAAAGCAGGTTTTAGGGTTTGGTGTTTGCTCTCTAAGCCTGTTTTTCTTGTAAAAGAAACAGGACTGTAAGAGACAGGTATTTAAGCCATACTTTGCTTAACAATAATATCATAATTTTCATGCTTCTACTGGTTTCCTTTATGTCCTAAAGTTTTACACATTTCTTCTGCTGACATTTCCTATTAAATTTGTCTAAAGCATTTGTTTCTGGGTTTGGTTTCCTTTTTGTTAAAAGCTTATAAAAATACGTACTCTAGTTATTGCTGTGGTGCATGGAAGTTACTAATTTTGCATGTTGATTTTGTACTCTTCCTCTTGGATTACTGTGTGGCTTGTTGGTGGTGAGCGGAGGACCACTGAGGCTTTGTGCTAGAGGATTACTAGTTTACTGTTGTAGATGATTATATTGATCACAAACATTAACAGTTTTGTCTCTTTCTGTTTAGTGATAAGTTTATTATTTTTCCTGTCTGTTTCCATGACAAGCCTTCAGTATAACATTGGAAAAGAATAGTGTTTGGGACCGTCTTTGCATTGATCCTGATTTTAACTATGATGTGTGGCAAAAAATTGTGCAGGTAGGTGTGGCAGTGTGCACCTGGAATCCCAGATAGTTGGAAAGTTGACACAGCAGGACTACAAGCTTGAGACAAGTTCAGGCAACTTAGTGACCCCTGTCCAAAAGAAAAAGAACAAAAAAGACTGGGAATTTAACTCAGTGGAACAGTGTAGGGTGCTTGCATGACTGCATGAGGCATGAGAGTCAATCCTCGGTAAAAAAAAAAAATGTTTTCTAATGTTGTTAGTCTGTTTTATATGTTTTCAGCATCAGTTAAGGTTGCTTTTTGAGATGATTTTACCTTAGTGAGAAATATGGGTTACCATTTAATTTGAATGATTCATACATTTCTGTTCCTAATGTACTATTTTTGATTTTCTAATGTTTTATTTACATAAGATTTTTGTACGCTTACCCACCAGTGCTATTGGCTTGTGTTTTTTCTATTTCATGTGTCTCCTGGCCCAGTTATGGTGCAGGTTGGTGCTAGCCCTGTACAATGTGTTGAGTAGTTTCATCTTCTGTTGTATGGCTCAGGATACTGGAGGGAGTTATGAATTTCTTGAATTTTTGGTAGAATTTGACCATTAACTTTTTCTCTTTGGGAAAGAAGTTTAGGTAGATCTTGAAGTATTATCTCAATCTTTTATATGATTATTGGTCTTAATGATTTTCTTTTACTTGAGCCAATTTGGGTGACTTATTATTTCTCAAAAAATTGTCCAATTAATCTAGATTTTCAAATGTTTTTGTGTAAAGTAATACATGTTTTAATTTTAATTTTTTCTACGATGTCTCTTTCTCAGTCTTAATATTATTTATTGCTGTTATTCCTTTCTACTTCCTCCCTACTCTTTGTCTTGCCATAGACTATTCTAGTTTATTGATATTTGAAAAAATTGACTTTTAGTGTTATTGTTCTATGCTATTGATTTTTTGTTTTTTCAAATTAGGTAATTTTTACATTGATCTTTATTAATATCTTCCTCTAATTTCATTTGGTTTATCTTATTTTTCTCCAGCTTCTTGAGTTGAAAAATTTACTTTCTTTTCACTTCTTCTGTTTTTCATAAGAAATTTAATACCATAAATTTCCATGAATTAGGTACATATCTAGATTTTTGACATGTGGCTTCTTACCATTTGTTTCTAAACAGCAATATTATGTTTTCTTTGTTAACTTAGAATTATTTAAACGGTATATAGTATCAGATTCATAGCTTAATATTTGGCTATTTCTTTGCTATTAATTTCTAATTTTATTCCAGAAGGTAAGCTGCCTGACTTCTTTTTTATAAGAATGTTGAGATTTTCTTTGTAGTCTAATATACATTTAACTTCTTTTGAATATTCCATGTGTGACTAAAGATGTTGTCACTCAGAACCTCTGTATCTGCACCTGATCTATAGCTACTTGATATGACTATTTTTGAGATCTGAATAACAAGGTATCTTACCATGATTGTAGAGCATCACTTTCTCCTTATACATATTTTCAACCTGTGCTTTATATATTGAAGCTATGTTAATAAATAAATAAAAGCCCTTGGCTAAGATATCTTTTTAATAACTATTATATTAGATCAAGATGAACTATTTCTATTAACATTTTTATTGCTGTCTTAAGTTCTACTATGTTCGATATCATTATATATCAGCTACTATGTTTTCATTAGAATTTGCATAGCTTAGCTATTTAAATTCTTTTATTTTTAACTTCCCCATGTAATTGTGCTCTAGGTATACCTAACAAGCAGCATTTTAGATTTTAAGTCTTAGAGGCTTTGTCATTCGACAGGGATTTCAAGCCCCTCATATTTATTGAGATTGATGATATAATTGAATTTACTCCTGCCACTTTTTGTGTGTTTTATATAGCATAAGTTTTTGTTTTTTTCTGATTACCTCTCAATTTTATTAGACTATTAAATAATTTTTACTTCATTTATTTCTCTAGTGGTTTGAAAGTATTCGTCTAGTTTTACACTTCCAACCTATTGTAAGAAGTTGTTGCATTGACGCATTTTAAAGGAAAATTCTGAGACCCTTCCAGTGAGGAATACTAACACCTTGCTTACTGCTTTCTCTTACTACTTTCTTTTATCCACTTAAACATTTACCATGCTGATATCATTTAGGACTTTATTACAAAGATTTTATAAACAGAGAGGCTGTTGCAAATATCAGTGATTTTAATATCAACATGTATTTTAATTAGTAAAATGATTTGATTTTTCTTGGCTCCTTCATTCAGCATAACTTCTTGCACCCCACATTTTCCTGCTTTGTTCCTTTTCATTTTTTATGTTCCAATCTGTCAAGAATTTTTTTATGCATTTCAAAACATTTTTATTTTCACTTCTTACTTCAAAGATAGTTTTATTGGGCACTTAATTCTAGGTTTAAAATAAAGTCTCTCACAATTCTGAGATTATTATTGTTCTATTACCTGTTGCATTCAGTGGTGCCAGTAAGAATTTTGATGTCATTTGATTCTAATTGCTTTGCAAGGTGCTATAGACTGAATTGTGCCTCTAATAGTTTGACACATGAAGTCCTAACCCTCAGTGTGATGGGATTTGAAGATGAGAGCTTTGGAGATAATTAGATTTAGATGAAATCATGAAGGCAGAATCTTCAAAATGGAATAAATGCTTTTATAAGAAAAGATGCTGGAGCTCTCTCTCTCTCTCTCTCTCTGTCTCTCTGCCTGTCTCTGTCTCTGTGTCTGTCTGTCTGTCTCTCTCTCACACACAAACACACACACATGCATGCACGCATGTACACACGCGCACCCCCCCCCCCCCCGCCAGATGGTTGCTGCCTGCAAACCAGGAAGAGAAACCTCACAGGCCTCCTGCTCACTCTGATCTCAGATTGCCAGTCTCCAGAACTGTGAGTGTCTAAACTCCTGTCACTTACACGATCCTGTATATAGTAGTCTGTCATGGCAGCCTGATCTCACTACCGCACAAGGAATCTGCTTTAAAATTTAGAGGCATTTTCTCTTCTTCTTTGTAACAATTTTCCATAAAATACTT